TTCTGATCCATCCTCCCACAAACAAGTAAGTTCTTTGCACCCTTCAATTTCAAGATTCTCAAGAGCTGTTAAGAACTGTGTAAAACACATAGGCAAGCAAGACATCTCTGAAATATTCTCAATGCTCAATTGAGAGAGAGAGGTGAGATCAATCATGCTCTTCAAAAGAATAGCATTGCAGTCTCTAATATAAAGATTTCTAAGTGACACAAGACTTGTGGTAGATGAGCATCTTAACTCTGGGCATCCACTTATCACAAGATTCACCAGAGAAGAAAGTTGGCTGGGTAATTGTCTTGTCAACTTGGGACAATTTTCAATCTTAAGATGGCCAAGACGAGGGAATTCACCTCCATTTCTAGTTGGAGAAATCCATTCCTTCCAATTTAACATGTTTCGGAAAACCAGATTCTCTAGTGATGAAAAAGTTCCATTGCAATAAAACTCTGGACCCACTACTTCTATTCCTTCCATGCCTTCAATAATCAATTTTTTGAGAACAGGTGATAGCCCAAGTGATGGTAACAAAGTGCATCTCTTACAATCTCTAAGCTCCAAACATGATAAATGAGAAAAAATTGGATCACCAATCCAAGAAGGGAATTCTTGGCCACCATAGGAAACAATTGTGAGACTCTTCAAATTTGAATGAGGTTTTAACCATTTGAGGATCTGCATTTCTTCACTGGTTTTATTCCTCGTATTACCAGAATCAGAAGTCCACTCCAAATGCAACTCATCAAGACCATCAATATTCTTTAGATCAGCCTCCATAGCATCTTGACCATTCAAAAGATTCTCTAGATTCAGAATAGACAGTTTTCCTTTAAGTTGTAAGAAGTTTTTCAAGTTAGATAATTTCATCAATCTATTTTCCTTCCCCACAATCAACTTTGACAATGTTAAGAGATTCTTAAGATTACCTATTTCTGATGGCATCTCTTTCAAGGAACTCGTACCTTCAATATCTAGATGATGGAGGTAAACTAAGTTTCCAATTGTCACAGGTAACTTCAAAATTGTCCAGCAGTTAAAGAGCAACAGTGTCTGTAATTGGAGGAGGAAACCCACGGACTCAGGTAGGCTTTCAATTAGAGTTCTTGACAAATTAAGGTACTTCAAATGTATTAAATCTCCGATTGAATCTGGCAACTTCTTTATGTTATAATGCTCAAGAGATAGTGCCCTCAAGCATCTTAATTTTGGCAGCCAATCATGCACCACTGTATTTGATAGACTACAGCTCCCCCTTGAGCCAACCGGAATGAATGTTCGCAAACACTTCATGACATTCAAGACTTCAAATTTCTTAGAGATGTCATACCAGTCACGACTGTAAGACAAATGACGAACTTTTTCATAATTCACTTTTGATTTTTTATCAACCTCAAACATATGTTCACGATTGAAGCATGATTCTCCAGCAACAAATTGAGCCAAATCATGTATGAGATCATGCATCACAAACCTTGACTCTGTCCTGCTAGATTGCTGCAAAAATGCTCTTGAAACTAACTCATTGAAATACTGATGACCAGCTTCTATTGATTGTTGCTGTAAAACCCCACTTGCCATCCACAACAAAACAAGCTGTTTCTTCTCAAACACATGGTCTTTAGGAAACAATGCACAATAGACAAAACATGGCTTCAAATAAGAAGGAAGATAATGATAACTCAATCTTAAAGCTGGAAGAATGTTACTTTCAGTTTCTTTCAGCTCCCATATTTCACTATTTAGAATGTGTTCCCATGCAGGACAATTTAACTTACCACATAAAAGGCCCCCAAGGGTTTTTGCAGCCAATGGCAATCCTTTGCACCTTTTAACAATTTTCTTACCAATTTCTTTTAAATTTGGGTATGCATCAAAATTGTCTGTTCCCAATGCATGTTGAGCAAACACTGACAAGCACTCTTCATCCTTCAATACTTCTAGACTGCAAACTTTATCCACTCCTCCCATCATTTCTACAACACGCTCATTGCGAGTTGTGATGATTATTTTACTTCCAGCTGCTCCTGATAAGAATGGTTTTTGT